GTTATAGGACTTCTGATTGCTATAAGAACATTAAATTCAAATTAATCAAACAAGAATGTTTTTTACAAAATTAACATTTTTAATCAGTTTTTATTTTTTACTAATGTATAATGAATTTCATTTGTTTATAATAATCTTAAGTTTTGTAAATTATAACTTGTTTAAAATATTTTATTCTACATTTTTATATTTCTTTTTTGTCAATAAGTTGTTTTATGTTTTTATTAAATAGTATCCGATGCAAATGAATTTTATTTGAATGTATACTAATTTAATCATGAAACATATTTAATTTTTTTTTGTAGTAATAATTATATATTATAATAATCTTATGTTTTATAAAGCACTTTTATATTAACGTAAATAAATTAAATTTAAAATTTGCCAATTTTTAAAATAATTTATTTGCATTACTAACCTTTTTTTACCAAATACGCTATACTAGACTGTTTTTACCATATATACTATACCAGGCCTATTTTTACCAAATAGAATTCAGATTTAGGTGGTATAATAAAAGAAACATTTAAAAAAATAACAAACATTACCCTTTTAATATATAAACTTAATCTGTTAATATATAAATGATCTACATCCTCGTTATATGCGTGAATCTAAAATAAATTAATTAGCTTAACTCAAAATTAACGCAAAATATATTACGGATATTTTACTCAAATTATTTTTCGCATTTTCAAAATATGACCTAAATATGGTTAATAGTATTTTTATTTTTTTATTTTTTTGTAATTAAATTTTGCCGCCATACCAAATAAATTAAAAATAACTTCAGTAAAAGAACAGAATGAAGTTTCAAAACTTAAACTTAAAAAAGCAATAAATAAATAATCAAACTATTTTTTTCTTAAGCTTTAATATTATATGAGCCAAAATATTTAATTTAGTCAACTATTAATATATCCACTTTGTTATGCTATGTCCATATAACACTCAAGCAATGCAATTGGAAATGGTGAATAAAGATCTCTAATCAGACTTAAATCATTACTTTTTATTACATTACATTACATTACATTATTATCAACGGACTTAAATTTTTCTTTTCTTTTTTAGTAAAAAAATATAAACTAGCACAATTTATTTCGTTTATCTTTTATACTTTATTTTATAATTTAAAAAGTATATAATAAAAAAAATCTAAACAATAAAATTAGATAATATATGTTATAATATAACTTTTTTAAGCTGTAACAACGAACAGTGTTCACTCTTGTAAATGTTGCGGCAGCAGCCGATGTACGCAAAATTAATCTACAGTTTTTCGAACGAACAACTGCGTTTGCGTTTTGCGTTGGTGTTCTTTTAGGTGTTTAAGATATTTTATGATAACAAAAACAAGTGTTTTTATTGATAATTTTGCAAATTTACGGTTGCGATACATTGAATCGTTTTGCAAGACCACGCTGTAAAATACCATTCTTTTGATCGATCAATTTTATAAGATTCTTTATTTAATTTTTAGACGTCTTCTTTGCTTTTCAACCACTTCCAACTTTTCTTTTTGGTCGTATATTGTTCTTCTTTCCTCTTTAGTATATTCTACATAGTAGATTTTGGGATGTTTTCCATTTGAAAATGATTGACAACAAAGCTTTAAGTCTCATCTGGATGCAAATCCAAAAATGCAAACGCTTGTTTTGTAAGCGAATCTTCGTCTTAAGCCTTTTTGTTTGATTTTCAAATAAAACTTAATAAAAAAAATGTTATTAATACATAAAAAGAGTTACATTTGTAACTAAATAGATGTGATTGCAAGTTTATTAAATTATTTATATTTTTATAGTTTATAAAAACTTTGTCTAGTTTTTTAGTAATCACATTTAATATATGAAGTAAATACTCCATTAAATGCAGTAGTGATGTAATGGTAGACATAAGCGAGAGATTCAGAGTTCGTTTCCCACCATGGCAGTACCGCGCTCTATTTATTTCTAGATGCAGTGGCGTTGTTTATCAAGGTTTGTTTTTCGGTCTTTAAGAGCGGAGAGAAGGTTGCAAACAATATAAAAGTAACCTCCTCGACTGTAGTGCCCTCGGTCTTCGGAGGTAAATAACATTGAAAAAAAAAAAACTGTTGTAAAACTTTTTAGCAGGTTACTTATTGGACTTATCAACTGCTACTTGACAGCTTATTTGTGCAGTCACACTTAAGACAGAGCGTTTAGAGGTTTGTGTGCGCAAATTTTAGAAAGTCAGTACAATATATCTTATACATACGCAAGTTATATTTCATTTTATACGTTTTTATACATTTTTAGAGCATTTAACTGTTTAATCATTTTGTTTTATTAACATAGATTATTAACTTCTATTGTTCTAAAACATGTAATAACTTAACTTTTTTTCTTTTGTTTAGATAGGTTTCCATCGTTTCAAATCATGTTGCTACTTCTTGTTGTAATTGTTTAAATATTTATAACTCTTTTAGTTTTTTTTTGTAATACTTTTGCTACATCAAGTCAGAGGGGAAGTAAGAGGGAAATTATTAAAAAACAGAAAGGTTTTTTACTTGTACATGCGCTACTTTACACAGCTGTGGTTTTATTGATTTGATAACTGGTAACCGGTAATACAAACCGATAATTATTTCATATCTTTAATTAATCATGGTAGGATCTAAAATAAAAGAGAATGCAAATTGTGAAATTTTGACAAAATAAAATTAGTTACGTTTATAAAAAAATATATATAAGGAATAAAAATACTACAATCGTCCTTGATTCACAAGATAGTAATGGTATATACACGAGTACACGATAATTTAAGTCTATACAACGAGTATACGATAATTTAAATCAAGAACTTAAATTATAGTTTAATGCTTTTTGTATTTTAGTTTTTGCTTTTTTAATTTATAAAATTTTGTTTAGATAATGATAAGATAAACATAAAATTGTTACTTGGGAATAGAACTACGAATATGTTATGCAGTTATGTATATATACTAAAATTAGGGGTGGTTTCAGCATTTTTTGATGTTTGAGTTTACTTTCAAACATGCAAACACCAAGCATTTATATATTTATACTTATGTATAGATGCGTTGCAAAAAATTACAATGATTGGAGTCTGGAAACAAAAAAAACCTAAATATTTTTGTCAAAAATTATGACCATTTAAATTTTGCACCATCTTAATTAGAAGGATTTATGCATAAACTGTTTGGAAAACAAAATTTTTCTTTGATGTTTGCTTTTAGTGTTATGTCTTATGTAAGATATTTTTAAACAATCAAGCCATTGAAGTAATGTTTAATCTCTCTTTATGAAAGTAATGTTTAACCTCTAACTTATTCAAGATAATTAAGATTTCAAATAAACTTAGTAAACTCAAATTTTAAGTTCTTTAGTATCACAAGTGTACGCATTAGTATTGGTAAAAGTTATATCAATGCATCAAATAAATATGATAATCATATGTGCAAACCTCAAAGTTATTTTCTTGGGGTCTCTGTACCCACCATCACCCACCACCAGCCTCTTTAGCGCTCTAAAGAGGGCGTAATAGGTGGTGGTGGTTGATGGTGGGTAAATATCAAACTGCCACTACAATTTTCAGTCTACTGCATTTCTCTCTACTATTGTTATTCATGGAAATATCCGATTTTAAGTATTACCAGTTAAAATGTCCTGAACAATATTTTTAATGACGTCGGTTAAAATATCTAAAACAAATTCTGTAATGCTGTCAGCCAATATTTTTAAAATTATGCAATAAATAAGTAAAATAATAAAAATGCTTACTCGTAGTAAACCTTTGGAATTTAATTTTTTCAATTTTAGGTTTCTACCCAATCTCCGCAGACAGGTGCTATTACAAGATCATAGTAGTTTTTTTAGTTAATACCATGCATCACAATTTGTTATTTTTAGTCCTGCATGCTTTACAATAAATTACTGACAACATAACTCATATTTTTAAGTCATAATCATCTTCTACAGTTTAATTTTTTTATTTTATTGTAATCTTTTTTATAGTTTTTTATTTCTATTTGTTTAATTTGTTGCTTTATTTTGTTATAACTTGTTTTTATAGCTTTTTTGTTTTAATTGTTAAATTTGTTGTTTTATTTTATTGTAATCTTTTTATTTTTAAAGTACTGAGCTATAGCACTTAAAAGTTTATCTAAAAAGCAGAAGGTTTTTTATATGATTTTAAAGAAAAAAATTTCTAACTAAACAAATTTTATGCGACTAAAAAAATATATTATGATTAAAATTCTTATAAAACATTATGATTAAAAAATTATGAAACAAAATATGATGATTAAAAAAATATATTAGAGCAGTTAAAACTCCAACTCAAATAATAAAAACAAAAAATTTAATTAAATAGGAATGCTCAAGTTACACGCAAACACACGCTAACTTACTCCACAACAAATTTATAACGCTTGTTATGGACCTTCTTATGTCTTCTTGTTATGAACCTTCTTATGTCTTATTGCTATGGACCTTCTCTTTTTAAACAAGTTGTTTAGCTCTATAATCGTAAGTTTTATAAACATCCATTGGGTAAATCTTCAGTTTCTATGGAGCTTTAAAAGTCTTAATCAAACCCTAAGAGTAATCTAGCTCGGGACACTTAGGGATGGGACCCTGATCAGCCTAATAAAATTTATCATAATACTGTGTTTGTAATTATTTATTCTATTTTATTATACTTTTTTTAACTCTAAAGCTCTAGTCATAAAATTTATTGATTTTGCGGTTTTGGAAAAAAAAAAAAAATGCATTGTTTTAAACTATTTAGAATAAACCGTTGTAAATTTTTATGAACAAAATTAAAAATTTGTTCATAATAATTTTATTTTTTTATTTTTATATTCTAAATTTATATTCTAATACTTTTATTGTTATTTTATCATAATTTTTACTTTATCGTTGTTTAAAAAAACCAATTCAACATGCTGTAATAAAAGATAATGAGCGGGGGAGTGGAGCACGGCTGTTTCACTCAATATAAAAGCGAGCTTGACGTCACAGTTATTTTTGTGTTAATCAAAAAAAAAATTATTTCCGCAAAAAAAGTTTTAAAATCTACTAATTTTAAAATAATAGTGTTATTTTCCTATAAGCGCTTTCATCTTCAAATTAAAAAAATATAAAAGACCTATCTTTTTTTTTTAAATAAATATTTACATTAAACGGAATAAAAATATTAATGTTTAAATATTGCTAACGATTTGGGATCACTTTTCTGTTTTTTGTGGTTTTTACGGAAAACCTGTCTTGGGTCAACTAAGATTTCAACACATAGCTACATGCCTCATGGTTAAAATTTGGAACATTTATAAATAAATGTCTATTCTATCTAATTTTTGGTGCGGATTGCTGATTTTTTATTTTTTAACTATTTTTTAATGCATTTATATTTTTAATTTTATAATTAAATTATAAAAATCGTATTATTTTTGTAATTCGCACCAAATTATTGAAATTTCAACCCTCTCTGCATATAAAAATCAAAAAATTGTTTGCTGCACTTTTAGCAATTATATAAAATATGTTTTCAAACTTGGCTAGTTTAGAAACAATTTTTTCTAGTTTAATGCGCTGCATTTCAAAACAATCGCGTGACCTTAAATTCCTTAAAGACCTTAAGCAAATATGTAATAAATTTTATGAAAACAACTTTCTTAGCGAGACGAATTTTGAAGTATAAAATAAACAAAGTTAGGCGGTTTTTTCTTTAGAATGGTGCATAAATCTATTATCAACTGGGTGTTCAAAGATTGTTTTCTACTTAAAGAACTTATTAGTGGATCAACTCATTATAAAACAGTTTTTTATGAGAATAAAAACACATTATCAAGCAATTTAAATTAGCTATTTGTATATTTAAAGAAACTTTTTTTTTTTGTGAGAAAAGATTGATTCAAGTGCCATAAAATAGTTCTATTACCAAAAGCGAGGTGAATTCAAAAACTTTAAGTCATGAATTATTTTATTAGAGTCTTTATTTATTAACAACCTAACACCATATTATTAAAACTGTATGCATAAAAAAGAATTGCTTAAGCTTTTTAAAGGCTTTAGCTTAAAATGTTAAGACTAAATATTTCAAAATTGAAATCTGGTTTTATTTTTTAATGCATTGAGTTTATCAACTTAGTGAATTATTTTCTAAAATAAGAACTTCTCGATTTAAAAACGTGCTCATTTAACAGCTAATCCCCCCTTTAACGACAATTTTCATAATTTTGCAAAAATTGCGGTTTGCTTGCAGACTTCAATAAAGACTGTTTCAGTTTACCTTTAACAATTAAGTAAAAAATTTTTATTTTAATAATAGTTAAACAATGAGTGTATTTGATAATCAGAAATATATTTTTCTGATTTTTTTTAATTAAAAAGTAACAACAATTTACTAAAATTTAACCAAGTTCATCATTTGTCACGCTTTTTATAAACTAAAAGAAGTTTTTTTACTATTGTATTAAATGGCGTATGATAAAACATTTTATAGTTGTTTTTATTCCTTTTACAAAACAAAATTATCTCTAATATTTCAAAAGTTATAAATGTTTTAGTAACATCCCCTAAGTCAAAATTTTCAAAAAAAAAAACAAGAAGCCGTAAAGCTCACTGTGAAACAGCCGTGGGAGATAAGGTTAATGCTTTTTGACTATAAATTTGTATTACTTTCGTAGTACTGCGAAAGATACTCCAGGAAGTCCTTCAGTCTTTTCAGAGGGTAGCGCAAAATAGCATTTAACTAGTAAGATTATACCTATTTCCTTACCAATATCGCTTATATTGGAAAATCTGATATTTATTTTATTAAATTTTAAAAATAACTGTAAAAAAAATAATATTTCAATTAGTATATACCCAACGGGCATTTGTTTTATAATGATATTTTATTTTATATAAAAAGTATATACAAGATAAACAATTTTTTTTTTATGAATGGTCAAATTTTTGGTCGCTTACTAAATTTTTTTTTTTTGAAAAATGGGCAAACTCTCGGAAGTTAAATATGCTGACGTTGAATTTAGCGCATCCTTTTTACACCGGTCAAAAATCTTTTTTCAAAATTACTTTTTACACCGGTCAAAAATCTTTTTTCAAAATTAAATTTTTAATTTCCGGTAAAAGGTTATTACAGAAGCAAACCAAGTCTAGTGTTAAAAGTGTCATAATGTTTTGAGCGAAGCTTCAGCAAGTCAAATTTGAGAAAAGTATCAGTGCGATAATTCAAAATGCAAGGCTTGGTTTTGTCAAACATGCATTCCAAAGCGATATATAAAAGGCACTGAGTTTTATTGCACTAAAAAGAGCAGCACAAGTGAAACTTAACTCAACCTCAAGAAATCTTAAAGACTCAATGTCATGACATAAATAAAAATATTCTATTAATTAATTGGTTGTTTTTTTAATTGTTATTGTTGATTATTTTTTTAACATGTTATCATCGATTGCATTTTTTTAATAAAATATTTATTTAATTACCCATCAATTCGCATATTTCATTCTCCCCAAATATGAGGGTAGAATGTAATTGTTTTTTTTTTTTCCAATTAAATAAAGATTCTAATTAAGTTTTTAAAAAATTATTAGATTTTTAAATATTTAGATACACTTCGAAATTCTCTAAAACTGAAAAAAAAAAAAATCAAAATCTTTTCCCGTTAAAAAAAAACTGAAACTCTTAACAATTTTATTTGACCCGCTTTTACTCTGTATATTATCATATACCGGGATTCTGCGGGATTCTGTATCAAATTTATCTTCATTCTAACAAAATAACGGGCTATTTCCCAGTAAGCACAGATCGTTTTTAAAACGTTTAAAAAACGTTAAAAACCGTTTTAATAGGTTTTTTAAACGTTTTAAAAACGTTCTGTGCTTACTGGGTTATTACGCAAAACTATAATCCAAATTTAAAAAAATCTTCAAAGTATTGTTTTTCACTAATATTATAAACTTAATTGTCTTTATTATAAATTGTATTTTATCCTTATTTGAAAACCTAATTAAAAGGTTGAAAAATAATTAGTTAAACTAATTTATTACAAATCAATTTAATTATATTTCTTATTGTTACTCTATTGTTCTCCTATTATCGCCTCTTATCGCTGTTCTATCATTCTCCTGACATACCTTTTATCGTTTTATCATATCTGTATTCTTAGTTTGTCTTACTTCTAGTCTTTATTTTTTTGATTATTCTATCAAACCTTTTATTGTAATTATATTATTATCTCATCATCTCTATTCATTATTATATCGTTATTCGATCACATCGTATCGTTGTTATATTATTATCTTATCATATCTCTTATTGCTATAATATCATTATCCTAACATACCTCGTATGGGTACTGTATCGCTCTCCTATCATTTCTCTAATTGTTGTTATATTATTATTATATCATACCTCTAATTGTTACTGCAACGTTAAGCTGTCATATCTTTTACTCTTATTATAGATTTATGCTATCAAATCTTTTATTGTTGTTATATCATTATCCTATCATAGCATTACCCTATACCTCTTACAGTTATCGTATCATTACCCTATAATAAGTTACTGTATTGTTCTCGTATTGTACCTCTTACAGTTATTGTATCACTAATCACTAACAAATATCTTATCGTTAATATATCGTTATCCTATGAATCCTCTATCGTTATTGTATCATTAGGGTTCGTCCATAAAGTACGTACGCTCGGAGGAGAAGAGGGGGTCTGTAAATGGCGTATATGAATTATAAAAGAAAGGAGATACTAAATTAAAAAAAATCTCATAAAATGTTAGATAAATAGGTTAAAAGTGTAGGTACTTTTAGGGAGATGGAGAGTACTCAAAAAAGCGTATTGCAAAATGCAGGGGGGGAGGGGGGACAAAAAAAAAGCGTACGTACTATATGGACGACCCCTTATTTTAGCATACCTTTTTTTTTTTTTTGTTCTTTAATCTTTACAAATTCGTAATATATAATATAATCGTTCACAGAGTATACTAAAATTAAAAAAAAAAATACGTAAAAAAAAA